ACAGTCTAAGCCCTGGGAGCTGACAAAGTACGGGTTTGGATAACAGTTCTTCTCTCTAGACTATAAAACAAACCATGGCCCCTAGACTGAAGTACGTGTGGTCAGAAGGCCAGGGCAAGTCATGTACGAGGTTGTGAGGGGAAGAGAGAAGTGGACTCGGGGCAGAACTCGGCTGCAGAAACGGCTAGTTCCAGACCGTCCTTCAACAGGAGGAAATCTTCCACTCCAAATTCCGTTGCATACCTTCAACCTCCACGCATCCCATACTCAAGAAAACGCTCGGCAACGAACTGATCTGCGTCGCAGAAGTCGGCCACTTCTATAACGGCGGCAAACGTTCAAGGTGAAAGTGAACCTCAAGGACATAAGCTTACCCTGTTGTTGACATTGTTCCGTTAGCTTATTCATGGTGATATCATAATCTCTTCAGGCGTAGCAAATCTTGAAGGTGTTATCAGAAGCTTGGATTGACGAGTAAGGATGAGGATCTCGGACCACAGCTTGAGCGAGATTCACATCATCCTAAATAGAGTCTAAGTAGCTCTAAAAGTCGTTAATTATGCAACTTAATATTTTGAACATGAATCACGACATCACCTTGATGCGACTGACAGCCATAAAGACTAGTAATAATCAGATTTATAACCTGAAATATCCGAATGGTAGGAGCTTTTATTTGAATAGTTTGGATGGTGTATTCATGGTAGCTTGTTCGTTAGAGGGTTCGCCTAATGGAATTTGCAGATAAGCATCTTTGAAGTTAATTTTAGCAGTACTGCTGCAGGCGGTAGTGAGCGATAACGAATACATTCTTCTGTCCAGATCACTTGGCCTTGATCCACCATCATGCATAGTTTTAGTAGTAAACGACTTGAAACTTTTGCAAACTTTTTGTATATGTCCAGCCTTTTCACACATATGGCAACCTACCTAACGAAATCGATATAAACTACGAAAATTCAGCTTACCACATAAAGAAAAGGGCTTAATACACAGAGGCGGATTACAAGTACTTTTCGAATTAGCCACTTGTCTAAATAAATCGGGATTGCCCCTCTTGAAAGTCTGATGTTCTAGTGTCCATTACTATGTTAAGCTCACAAAACCTATTCTGGCTTATGGACAGGCTAATGTATCTATTCTTCTTGAATCCCGTTTTGACCTTTCTAATTATCCACTTATTAACCCTTACTATTTTTTAAATGAGCATATGTGCGTACACTTCCCGTAACTTATTTTCATCTGGCTATAAATGTCGATTCCCTCTTGATTAATAGGATTTGGCTTTTATTCATTCTCCACCGCGCGTCATTTTGCTTCGCTCTCTTCTATTCTCTTCATCCCTCTCATTGCCTATCCAGACCAATTAATGTCCAAAATACATGTACTCGAAAATCCATTCTCGTATTTAACTTATTTAATTTCATTATGCACTAATGCGAGTTAGGACGAGAGAGTAGCCAGGATGTATATTTCGACAGCCAACATCTGATAACTATCATTCATACGATTTGATTGGGGTCAGATGTCGGGCCACTAAAGTGGTGAGCACGCTGACGACAAACCTGACGCAGCGACATCAATGAAGAACCCTCTGTACTCCACAGTTTTGACGAACAAACTCAGCGAAGCCCGTTCAATCGATAAACAACGCAGTTTTCGACCATACGGCCAAACCGGAGATCACGGTACCACTACAAGGTTTCTGCGTTATGGAAGATAATTAATCTTCACGTTGTCTCGTAACTGCATCATGCGGCTCATTTTTAACGTCCTCATCAATAAAACAGAAGTATTCAGCGGTCTCAAAAGTGCTGAAGAGAATTTTAATGAGCTGCTTCACCGATTTAGAATCAGGCGGTCACAAAATTTAATATGCAGCTCTTTAACAAAATTGCACTTAGAAGCTTGTGTTCAAAGCTTTAGTATGAAATCTCGAATAGCCTGGTTCGAAGAATGAACTATTTTATTTAACCATGCTCTTTTACGTGTTTTAAATGATATTACTTTGTAATAATCTATTAGCAAACTCTTTAGTTTTTGGAATGAAGGTAGGATAAGTTTGTCATGATATTCAGGGTCCTTTAAGAAACTACAGACTTCTCTAACGAGCTGATGATATCTTTCCAGAAGTTATATGACAAACACCAAACATCAAAGCGTTCTGAATAATCTTCCATTTCCCTAGATGGCATATTGATGGGCAGTTTCCCCAAATTACTTGAATCTACTTGAATTGCGACGCTAGATGCGAATTTGAACTGATATAACGAAATAGAATCAATTCCAATAAGTTTTAAACTTTAACAAGACATAATCAAGAACTCAAACTTGAAGTACGCAGTATGAGATCGTCTTGCATTATTAAGATGGGTTTAAACACAATGAAGAATATTAAATTGTATAGTAAGTGTATTGGATATTTACCACAATACCGTAAGATTTTTTAATTCTGTTTTATTCATCATTTTGAATTCTTGCTCCTGAATAACTGGCGATCGTCCCTTTGAATGATTCCATTTGGCTGGATTGACTGAATCTATATCTGCTGAGATGAGCACTTGATTTCCTGAGTGTTAGGAAAGTTTATTGTTTTAGACGTCTGACTGCTCGCTTTAGAGATATTTCTGTTTTTCTTGGGCAGCACTCTATTGCCGGGTTTTCAGCAGTATTTTTACTAACTGCCGAGGAATCAATGCATATTCTTTGTAATAATTACCTAATGTTATGTAGTTTATCACCTTATTTTGTTATAACAACAGCAGTGGTACCTGCCTCAGGAAGTATTGTTCAAATATGCATTTAGCTTCTTTTGTATGTTATATTTACTCACTCCGTACCATTCACATACCCTGTTTTCAACAGTATTTCACCTTGTCAAACAGAGGTTCTCGTCTATGAACAAACTTTTTGATTAACTCAACTGAGGTCTTAATGTACTTTTTCCGGATAAGGTCTATGTGTATTGGTGAAGACTTCAGATTCTATGACTGTAATCTTCTAAAACCATAAACCGGAGTTGGAAATGACCATCATTTCTTCATTTCCCAACAACAATAGAACTAGTGTATGTCAGTAAAGTAGATGTGTATCGAATGATTAGGGGACTACTCGAGTAAGATAGGAATAGTGTGACCATCCAAACAACGTTGAGTGCACACCACGCGGCCAGCATTTACTTACCTCTTCATCGCGCCAAGTTACTATGCCTGCTTTGAAGACGATATAATACGAGGACGTCATTACAGAAATATATTAGTAAGAATAGGTACAAAGAAGAGCGCGACCACCGTCGCTTGGGCCAGTCCGTGATATGTGTCAAATTGATGCGTGTTGGTTAAACTTGAACTTGACAATGACTGGTTGACTGTTGTATATTCACTGATTCGACTGTCGAATAGCTTGACTAGGGCCCAGTTACATTTCACTGGCCTTACGGATCTGCAACGTCATTTTGTGTCATTTGATGTTAAGCCTTGTTCCAACTCCATGCTGTGGGAAGTCTGGTCTAAACTTTGTCGGTGGGTTAGATCTCCACTTTTAAAGATAACCTATAAAGTATCGTAAGGTTCAGAAACATCACTAGTAGGCATACTTGGTGTGACGTGCCTCGTAAATTCTCACACTAGTGCCTTCACTACTGCCAAAAGTTGCGCACATATAAGTTATCTTCCGCGTCACAGAATCAGGCTTCGATGCTATCGGGCCACAATGGTATGCGTTGAGGGGTGGGAGGCGGAAGGGTCTTAATATTAAGCAGCTCACTTGGAACCCTCAAGATCAAAGGAGAAGAAGAAGACCATAGGGCACATTACGCTGAGAAATGGTGACAGATATGAGAAGAATGAATAACAATTGGATAGAACTAGAAAGGAAGGCTTAGGACAGAGTGGGTTGGAGAATGCTGATCGGTGACCTATGGTCCATTGGGAGTAACAGGTGTAAGTAAATAAGTAGATATCTGCTCAGTTTTTAATGAAGATAAGATACACATACACATAAAATACAAATATCCGGAAATATAAAATCAATAATAACTAACTGGTTACGCGGGATGTCAAAGCAAAGAACAGACCTAGGGTTTATTGTTTGGTGTACCACATCAGGTTGAGCACACCACTAAAGATGCCACAATTAGTTGGAATTTGACAACACCATTAGACTTAATACTTTGTAATCGAAGCATGTCAATCCGATCAGATCAGAAGTAAGAAGTGAAGGGTTTCGAAGATATATTGAGAAAACTGTCCATATATTTAGAAACGTTTATTCTGAGCTGGCTGGGAGTTGTAAGGAATGATCAGCACAACGTACCCTTAGTGCTCTGGTGAGGATGTGTGACCGTTTCCTTTCATCTAGGGTGCATCCAGTGAAACGTTTGAAGCCAGCATCAACGTCAAAGACCTACAGAAACATTGACTTTGTGGATTTGTTTATCGCTCCAGTCCCCCTCTATGTGACCTCCCAATGAGTTATAGGATCGTAAAGACTTCTGTGAATCCCTTTAAACACCTACCTAAGCTCAGTCTCGATACAAATCCTAGTAGCAACATCCAGAAACTAGAGACGCAACATAATGGAATGGGCTGTAGCCACATCTTTCACCTTTAGGAGTAGTCAAATTCTGGAATTCGCCACCGGCTGAGCTGATCCGAGAGACTTCTCAAGAGAAAACTTGTGTATACTTAAGGACTAAGGACAGCATCTCACCATGATTTACTAATGGTTTTTCTCTTTTATCGTTAAATTAACCTAGATTGCTATCTGGAAGCATCAGTGATCCACTGTTACTAGATACGGAAACCCGTTAAGCGAAAACTTATTCTTTTTCATCTAGAACCATTTGAAACTATTTGGATCAAACAGCTGGTGACAATTTTGCTCGTCAATTACGGAAGATAGCACTTGCAGGTTATAAGTTTAGTTAGAAAAGAGAATCTACTGATGATATCGAAATCTGGGCAATCTTTTGGTCTTCTTTTTTCAAAGCAAGATTGTGAATGAACATAGACCTTGAGATCTTGGCAGAATTTCGTTTGCGGACGCCCATACGTCATGGTGCGATAGTAGGGTAAGTATTGGCATCTTCGACAAGTTTTAAACGTAACCAGTTCGCCCGCAGAGTCACATGTCATTTTTACATGTTTTTGATATCTGTATAAGTGCAAATCTTAGGCATAATAGATAACAAATAAGCATATTTGAACAAATAATTTGTTAGTGATAAGTATCTGACCGGCTTTCTCTATAGTAATGGGGCTGGGATAGCCAATGTGATCTGTAGCTGTCCAAAAATCATGTCGCTCTAGTGTTGACGAATCGTATGTTTGTGTATAGTTAATTTGTTCGTCTTGAATGATATTTTTCGTAATCTTGATAACCACTATCAAATTTGTTCTAAAGGTTGTTAGGGTAGCAAAAAAGCTTTTACTTGATGACATTCTGTATTTAGTAACGGTCTATCAACAATGCTCCCAAATCTGTACATCGGCATATGTAAAACAGAAGTTAAATATTTGTAAGTTTTCATAAAATACTGTTGTGAGTTCCTCAGAAGATATCAAATTTCACCATGCAGGACTCCTGGAAAATTGCTTAGATCACCTCAGTAGATGGAGGATTCTGAGACCTCAGTACCCGGAAGGAGTGGAATGTGTTGTACTCCGAGTGTCTGGCTATTGCCGCCAAGGTTTATGTTGAGCCTAGGCCTGAGAGGGTATTTTATATGGTGCCTAGAAGTGTTTGGGATGTTATATGTTAATCAAAAGTGCCCTAGGCTCTAATTAGTAAGGATCCCGTGGCTTGAGGTGTTCCTCAGAAGGTTCGAGTCTCAGTCCTCGAACTGATTTCATGGCTGGGGTTTGGATACATCTCAGAGTATTCTTACCCTTTCCGTCTGGGGCACACCTAAGGGAGAATCTTTTAAATTACATGTGTAGTTTACAACATTTCCCAGTTGGACGTCTTTACACCTCAGTGTTAAAGGTAAGCCCAACTTTGGAGTCGGATCAGACCCTACTGAAGTGCCAACTTATCACCCTGGTTGCAAACTCTTTTGAGACCAACATCGTCTGGAAAAATTAATATCATGGAGGATGTTTGCTGAGAAGAGTCAATTATGTAAGTCAAACAGAAAAGCGGTCTCAGGAAGAGTATGATCCTGCTAAGACTCTGTAACCTGAGGGAATGGTCAATTTATTCTAAAATGATTCAAGCCAGTCTATTAATGGTAACCTAAAGTCTATCTATCTGACAAGGAATTTTATCGATCCTGTCCGAAGTTCCAACGAAATCAAAGTATACTACGCTCACCTTCCCCTTCAGATCAGGGATGGTGGTCCGTTTATCTACCACAGTCGTCAGATTGGGTTGCAGGCGTAATTCTTGAAGTCGCACTGTTAGAGCGAAAAGAAATTTATATGTAGTAACTAGTTATGTAGGCCGTTTTTAAACCAGAGATTCCATAACCTCTAAAGGTATTGAGAAGAGAGTTGCTAGCCGGCAAAAATCTTTGCGTTGGTCTTCTCTAAGGATTAAAGTGATGTTTGCCAGCTTCCAGTTGTCCTTAACATCTCGGCTGAGTGAATTTTAAAATAATGGACTTAAGGTTGTTGTCACGATTAAAGCCACTTCCTTCAGTACAATAAAGTAAATCATGTAAGAGACAGATGTATGCTTACGTAGAAAAAGTCTGTAGTTTATTTCAGTCTACCTCTTAAACTGACAGTAATTTTACAAATGTAGGGGGATCCAAGGGATGACAAAGAATGAATGCATCTACATCATTGCGAAAGATTTTTAGCCATGTCACTCAAAGTCTTAAATCACCAGTTAAGAAAAACATACCAACCTGAACTAGGTAGTGTACACCTGCCTCTCCGATTCCGTCCAGCAGTCAGTTTTGTTATTCTATTTATTTAAACACAAATATTGGTACAAGGGGGCACCAGATATATATGCGCCACACAAAACAATGAGAATTGATGCCATATACTAGTTTGACAACCTCTGGCTTTCGCTCAACCTACTCATACACCAGCAATCTTCGCTTGTCAAAATTGTTTTAACTGCCCTTACCAGTAAATTCATGACCTTACAATATAACCTCACTCCTGCTCAAATTAGCTGTACAGTTGTTTCTAACTACACTTAAGTCAATCATACGCAACGTAGGATTTGACACGTGTGCATTAGTTCAAGTTACCGTACCACAGTACTACACTTTAAGTCACTCTCCATAGGCCCAAATCAAGTGTTTAAAACCTTGTGCTAAGTGCACTGATCTATGTTATCACACTTTTCTAAATAGCACATTAGTCAGTTCATGTAATATATATATATATATATATATATATATATATATATATATATATATTATTGGCTAAACGCCAAAATTAAAGCTGGTAGGTACCCAACTCTGATTGTTCTAATTGAAACACAATCCACTGGTCGTGGAGTGTACTCATAGTAAACGGATTGTAAGATAAGTTCATAGAATATTTATTGCTTGAGGGATTGTAGAACATATGCTCACCTCATCTAAAACCAGGGTTCTTTAAATTTCCTTGATAAATCAATGTACTCATCGATTAAGTTTTGGGGCTAAACATCCACCTTCAATCTCGTTTAGATTACTACATGGAAATAGTGAATAATTCTAGTGTAAAATCTTATAAGTAAGTTGTTATATAAACAAACTTCCACTGTAAAAATGAATCTACTCCCCCCTTGGTTTTTTCAGCTCATTTGCGAAGACTTGCTAGTGTTTCAATAGGCCAGATTTTTTACATTATTCAATAATGACCTTCAATTTGTCACATTCTCTTTATCCTAAAGGTTCTACACCATTCAGTTTGACATTCAGAAGCTCAAAATATGTCTTCTAAAAGTTTCAAGGAACTAGTAGGTTTTAAAAGCTATACATAATCATAAATTTCCAGGGTGTTTGCAATGAAATATGTGATGTTATTTCAACTCTTGGTTGGGTGAAACCGTCTGAAATACAGCTGAAAGCTATTCCGGCTGCTTTTCGTAAAAAAGACATAGTGGGGCTTGCAGAAACTGGATCTGGGAAAACTGCCGCCTTTGCCATACCGATATTGCAAGATCTACTCTCAAAGCCTAGACATAACTTTGCATTGATACTGACTCCAACAAGGGAATTAGCTCTTCAAGTCAAGTGTCTTTTTATGGAACTAGGTGATAAATTTGGTTTGAAGGTGGTGTGTTTGGTAGGTGGCCAACATGTCGAAGATCAAGTTCGTGATTTAAAAAGACTTAAATTCCACGTAATTGTTGGAACACCTGGCCGAGTAGTTTATCATCTTGAAAATACAAAAGAATTGCGCTTAAATCACGTTAGGTACTTTGTACTTGATGAAGCTGACCAAATGTTGGAGGATACTTTTGAACAACAGTTGGCTTTTATAATAACAAAGTTGCATCCCAATAAACAAACCTTCTTATATTCAGCTACCATGACACAGAATGTAAGTTGTCATCTTGTAATCCTTATTAATTTCCAGGTTGATAAAATACGAAAGGTATGCACCAAGTCACCAGTTATACTTGAAGTCAGTTCAAAATATAGCAAAGTTGACAAGTTAGATCATGCATTTATTTTTATTCCGGATAAAGAAAAGGATTTTTACCTTATATATTTACTATTATCATCTAAGGTTAGCTCTTTTTTTAACATTATTGTAATTATTTCTATTCTTTGGAATTCGATTATTCTTTACTGTTCAAAAGTTCTTGAAGATAAAATCCTTTCTTTTGACCCAATAATGGCTTCATAGAGAGACTTAAAGACGACTGTATGTGAGTCAGCTAGCCAAATAATAAGTATCTATCAACCCAGGTGTGGTCTGTGTCGACCTTCGATATTTTCATGTACTGTTTATTTTTTACTAATGTGGATTTTTTTAAAAATTATGTAGTAAGGACATTTAGTATACAACCACAATATAAAACTACCAAATCATAATATCGAATGTAATTTGGAATGGTCTACAAACTTTGTAGCTTGACTCCTTAAATTTTGCACTCTTGGTGATGGCAGAATAACTGATGTAGCTCAGATTATCTAACACTGTCCTAAATCCATTTAATTCTGATTAGTCTCTGAATCTACAGCATTCTGCTTTTGGTTTTTTCGCTCGAAAGTTCTACAACTTTAGCAAATTTATAACTATTCTGAATTGATAGCATCAGCAAAATATGTTTTATCAGCAAGCACTTTTGCTATCTGCATTTCTGATAAGTTGACACAGTATTCAGGTTCGCTTATCGTGACAACTCAATCGATCAATTGACCAAAACACATGTTCCCCCCCCCAACCCTCTCCCGAGATATCCCGATTGAAAAGAAATTTAATTAAATGTGAAAAATTTGAGACTCAAAAATAAAATCATACTGGTGACTGTACAGTATTGTAGTAGTGGGTAGTTTCCCTCATACATTACTATCTCTGTTTTTCCTGTAGACTAAAGGAAAAAGTGATAGGTCTTCTAACTGAATGCTAGATTTAGTCCCTAAGCTCTTCTAGTAACCCCCAAGTTAAATCTACACCGCAACTTGAACACGAGAGAAAAGGCGCAAAATATGGAAGAAAACGCATGTACAGAAAATCTAGAGTTTTTATAGTATGTTAGATGTCCTTGAGTTTCCAGGAAATTTTGGAATGCTACTAAACACAGTAGTAGTATAAGTAATCATCCAATAAGAAACTCAGCATGTGACTTTCCACTTTCTAGACGTTTCTGGCAAAACTTCTAGTGAATTCTAATTCGAGAAGATCCTTCTCAGTGTTTTCAGAGCTTCTTTTGGCTGTTTTCTCGAGTTTTCTGGATCTCCCCAAGAAAAATACGAGAGGATTACCTCCAAAAATCTTATACATTTACCTCAGGTCTCCAATTTTAAACGTATGATGCGAGAACTACAAAAACAACTACTCAGCAAAAAGTCAAGTGTAAGTTGTTTCATGTAGGTTCTGCAGTCACGCTCATGGATCAACTGAGCTTTTTAGGGTCCTCACGGAGTGATGTTAATTCACAATTAGTATGTCTAAAATGTGTCAATGATATGTTCACTTCAAGATCATCTTGTTCATCATTGACTCTACTCCTTGTGTCTCTTGGTTTTGCTACCAACCACTCCTCCCTAGCACTGTCTTAACAACCAACATAGTTGATTATTCATATAGGAACTTTTTTTCCAAATCCCAGGTAATGATGACTGATACATCATCACTCTGAGATGGTGGTGAATATTTATAGGATTTTATATCCGCTTTTCCCATGATCTTGATAGTTTAATCGTGAAGCTTTCTTTGTCTTTCTCAACAACATAAGCACACACTTCAATAAGAAGTGAGTTGTCAAAATTTTTCCAGAATTTACTAGCTGGTCACTGTAACGGAATAACTTTTTACTTTCTAATAAATTAGTAAATGTTTTAGACCAAGTAATGATGACAATGGTTTTTTTAAAAGCTTAAGTGGAAACAAATCATCATATTACGTCACTATTTCGGTATGTCTGTACACATATTCTAGAGCGCAGACAAAAGCCGATCGATTATATTTACAAGCACATGGAGAGAATCATTTCGTATAGTGGCAATGCTTAAAAGTTTGGCCGATGTAATTGGTGCTGCTTCTGCCCCACTTAATGGTGTTATGCAGCAAGATAAACGTCAGTCATCTTTATTCGATTTCCGTACAGGTCGTGTTTCAATACTTGTAGCTACTGATCTGGCCTCCAGGTGAGTTCACCATAAGTTTCTTTTTTTTAATTTTCCTTTTGATATTGTTTTTCTTCAGTTAACTTTTATTTATTTATTTAAACACAAATATTGGTACAAAAGGGCACCAGATATACATGCGCCACACAAATCTCATTTGATTTGTGTGAGGTCTGTGATACTGCCCAGGTGCCCAAACTGAGGCAGGTGGTTTTCTTAAGGGGCCACACCCGGAGCCTTTGACCTAAAGATCTGATCCACAAGGCAGTGGAGCATGGTAGGGAGATGCAGTCCCATGGTAGCCGGTGACCAAATAATTGGTTCATACGCCATTTGTTTCCTCAGGATACTGGAGCCCATGTGCACCATTGGTTTGGAATCAGGGTTTTCCAACTCCCCTAGGTGGACTTTCTGTGTCCACCAACCCGGTTAAAGAACCGGATATTCGCTTTTCGTTCTCTCAATTTCGTAAGCAACAGTAATGTGACAAGAAGACGGTGAGTAGGACTTCCCTGGCGGAGACTGTATACGCGTGGCCATGTGAGCATTTCGAGAGGGAGAGTGGACTCTCCCCACTGTCGGTCGTACCAGGGCATTTGGGGGCTAGGACACTACTTTTGATCAATATTAGAATTGATTTTATTTCCCTTGATCAAACGGATGGTTTAACGAAATGATCTTAATGATAAAAATGAATAATTTGGATTATCTATATTTACGACTAATTTTCCTAACTTCAACAGTATAGCCCAAAAAACTTGAAATAAATCATTTCGTAACTCAGAAAACCAGTTTTTTATACACTACAAATATATTTTGTCTTTGTTCGATAGTCTCTTTAAGGTTACTAAGATTCCAACTAGTTTACAAAAAGTCTACACAATTTTACCTTTTTATTGCAAACTAGATTGAATATACACAGATACGTCTTCATTCTTATTTGTACCTTACAGTCTTGAAAAATCTCTCTTAAGACTATTGCTCCGAAATGCCCTGGTACGGCAGAGAGTGGGGAGAGTCCGCTCTCACATGACCACGCGTATATAGCCTCTACCAGGGAAGTCCTACTCACTGCCTTTTCGTGGCGGGGATGTTGTTTACGAATTTGAGAGGACGAAAAGCGAATATCCGGCGCTTTAGCCGGGTTGGTGGACACGGAATCAATCGTTGGTCACCGGCTACCATGGGACTGCATCTCCCCACCATGCTCCACTGCCTTGTGGATCAGATCTTTAGGTCAAAGGCTCCGGGTGTATCCCCCTAAGAGAACCACCTGCTTCAGTTTGAGCACCTGTGCAGCATCACAGCTCTCACACAAATCAAATGAGATTTGTGTGGCGCATATATATATATATGGTGCCCCTTTGTAGTTTATTTGTTCACAACTTTTGTCCTCAATCATAGAATGAATGTTCAAAAATGCATTTCATGACAACACATGTATCTTCGTTATCTAGTATTACAAATTTAGTGGGAGTTATGTTACTGTACTTTTTTAAATAACATTTAAGTTGGGTTTTTTGGACAGTTGTTTTATTTTACCTTTTTGTTGTTAAAAGTTGTAACTAATCAAGTTAATGTACTAGTGTATTATGAGGTGACACTATATTAATTGTTAGACATTCATTGTCTTTGTTATAAGAGAGACCTAAGCCGAAAATTATGATTCTTAAGAGATTTCAGTATGTGCGAATCAATCATTAAGTGACAACAACCAATATCATTTTCATTTGTGTTGTGTAAATATTACTCTATTCATTGTCAAACACTTATGGTCTTCACCAATTGATAAAGTCAACTTACAGAAGTCAATATAGAAGTCTTCATCTTCATATAAGACTTCGGTTGACATTAATGTTAACCATAGTAAGATAAAATGGCATAGTATAGGTAAGTTTTTTTATAACCTTGATTTATAACCCAATCAACTATTTTCTACTGGTACATCGCACTTCAATCCGACGTTCAGGGTTGCTCCTTTGACGATTTCAGCATACACAACCATTGGTTCGAAGATACGTTTCATCGAATACTAACACCTACATGTCTTTTACATTCAATGAAAATGTTTCAGTTATAAATTATCACTAACCGAACTATTTCATGAGTTCTGTAATAGTCAGACTGAAATATGATCTGTGATACAAATGGCTTACGTTAGTTAAAGTCATCTGAAGTTTTGGTAAACATATTGAAGTACAGCCAACTGACACTCAGACAATGATAATCGGACGCGCTCAATTACGTAAACCCCTACTGTTTGACTAGAGATTGGACAGAATTAGCCACAGGGCAAGATTTTTAAAGTCTTTGTTTTTCACTATTTTTTTGAATTTTGTAGTTAAATAATAAAAAGCGAAATACACTAAACGTCTATCTTACTTTCCTGCTTCTTAAAAAACACTTTCATTAAGGGGATTAGACTTTCCAGATGTTGATCTTGTTATTAATTACGATGTCCCACGTCGGCCATCGTGGTCTGATTCTGCAAAAGCTTATATACATCGAGTAGGAAGAACTGCTCGTGCTGGACGACACGGACGTGCTATTACATTTGTTACTCCTTATTCAGTTACACGTTTGAAAGCTATAGAATCAGCTTTGAACGAAAGAATTCCTCAGCTACCTTGGCCCGGAACAGATTGCTTGGATTCACAGTTAAGACAACAAGTAATACAAGCTGACAAAGAAGCTCGAGCGGTGAGTTAGTGGTTCACAGTATATATATATATATATATATATATATATATATATATATATATATATATATATATGTATATATATAGTGTATAGTTTTGGGTCTTTCATAATTTTCTTAATAATCATTAACCAGGGCCTAGAACGAATGTGTATTGGTTAGGCTAATCCATGGACATCATATGAAGACTTCTGTTCTAAAGTGAAAGATCATAAGCAGTTTGATTGGATAACGTCTCACTTCAAAACTCATACTAATATCTTATCTAATTTAACTTTTAAATCACTTGCTTCGGTCTGGGCACCTGGGTAATATCACAGCCCACACATATATCAAGTGACTTGTGTGGCGCTTATGTATTCGGTACCTATTTGTACCGATATTTATGTGTTCAAATAAATAAAAAACAAACTGCCTAACGACCTCGGAAAATAATCCAGCGAAACCAACCGGTCTTTCTTTCCTTGAGTTAAGTTGTGGCATTGTCAACTTTAATGAGTTGAAGACCCGATATTAACCTCTTATTCAGATTGACAGCGACTAATGAACAAATGAAATATAGGTAGTGGCCAGTTGAACTATTCTTGTACGTCATGCCAGTTGCCTGGTTTTAGAGTACTCCATCTAGTTCGGACAGTGTCTGTAATACCTACTTTCTATGTGTAATGTTAGAAAACCAGTGATTAAATTATACTATCAAAATTAAAACAGTGGCTTTATGACCAGAGTGGTTGAACACTTAAGTGTTCAACCACTAAGTCAAAAGTTCGAACCCCGTCACACCTTACGTTTCACACCGAAATTGATTCCAGTTTTTATTCAACTTGTTTCAGAACCTACGTATCAAAGAAAAGCAGAAACAACTAAAGAAAAAAAGAAAAGATTCATCAAACAATAACAGGTTGCCAAAAGCCAAACGATCACATCAAGGTAAAGAAGTGGATCCAGAAGAGACAAACAGTGAATCAGAATAGTTTACTATTTTTAGCACAAATTTTGTAAATACTACTAGATCATCACACTTGGATTTTTCATATAATTCTTTTTTGGAATATATTTATTTAATCTAACTAAGCAATACAAGCTGAAAATCAGTTACACTTCTTTCAATAGAACTGCTGGATGATTGGAAGTTATCATTTGAAATTTGGTTTAGAATCAATCACTGTAGCCCCGACATTTCCACCAAACCCCGAAAATGCTTATCGAATTAACAAATGTGCAAACTAAATATTTGGGTGTCATAAAAAAGACATGATATAAGTTGGTACACAGGAATTATAAGGATTCTGATCCCACCGTGAGCGGTAGATAATTCTACAAAAGAACCCAATGGGTATTCAAAATTCGACATTTCAACGAACATAATGACCCGAAAAAACATAGTGGACTATCGACATCACTTGAGGCACTCCCGATATCCTTTCTTTCTGAAATCATCTATCCCCCTCCCGTTTAACTCCGTAAGCGATGGTCCATTGTGTTCATGCACGTCAAATGCAGAAATTCACAGTTGCGTGATATCACTATTTTCATACGTTACAACACCAAGCAGACTCAATGGTCACCAGAAAAAAACGGAATTTCTTCCCAGGTTGTATACCATACGTATCCATTTTTCTGATCATTACCTTTTGTAAACGTTACGCCTATTTTTCTTAGAGGCCAACTTTAATAAGCTTATGATAGGACAAAGATCAAGAGCGGTAACAGCTGTATGAACACCACGGCGGCTTAGCAACATATTCCGAACTTTTGTGGAAGCTATTCTCAAAACTACAGAAGAATCAAATAGCTGTAGTCTTCTCCCAAAACACTGCCATCGAGGAACCGGCTCTTGCTGCAGGTTATAGTGTAATGGTCACCACGAATTCTACCGCGATATATTATATCGCTTTGCAACTCCTGCGCTCGGAAGTGTAACGTAGCTTTTCAAACAATACGAGCAGATTGGAGATAACACAACAGCACCTAGAGCAGAAAGTCGCTTAGCTTCAGTCCGCCTGACATTGAAGTATCGAAATTTAATCTCCGGACAGGCATCAGTGGTAACTGTAACTGACGGTAGTAGCTGCCTAGCTTGCACCAATGATGTAATGATTAAAGGTTTGTGATTTCATCATTAGTGACATGTCAGGATCGTCTGTGCAACATTGAATGAATGGTAGCAATGGTCCGTGTTCAAACTAAAAGTAGATAATCAGATGTAAGGTGAAAGTATGTCAACCTAAATTTGCATGTATACAAACTGAAGCACTAACTTATCGTTATAAAGGATGTTTCAGCGCCCATTTTCAATGTCGTTATTTGGTGGAAATATAGTGCTGTTTGAAGTTTAAAAAAGCCCAGAATATTGTACCGGTTGGAATAAGATAGCAAATTTAACAGTAGGTAGATAAGACCAAGACTCCTACTAATCTGACTAGTCATGAATGCCTGATTATGAACCCTCTTCGTTAATCAAATATATAATAACCACTGAAGAACCTAACTCAAAACAGATTATGGTCATCAGCCAACAGGGTGTTACATTTCGCTATTGTTAAGTCGTGATGAACTAATGGGATTACGGTCAATATTAATATCTCGGTTGATGCTACTCACAAAGGTGTTTGTAAGTAGTGTACTTCGGAATGTGACGTCGAACAGTGAGTTACAGTCCACTGAAGGATGTGATGAGTTTTGTCGAGGACAGTAGGTGAAAACTGTTCTATCCCTCTTAAAATAAAACACCAGAGAGGTTAGTTATTCATGGTTGTAGAAAATATGAGAACTTAGCTGAAATTTGATGTTTTCAAAAACAACACTGAAGAAGAAGAAGATAATGACATTCATTGAATACTTAATCTGTACAAATAAGATAAACTGTTTTTTATCGTTAACTGAACAAAAGACATAACCAAATAAACAAACACAATCAATCAAAACTGTACACAATATGAAACTAAACATAAACGTATACAAACTTTTTTGAAACCAACAGTAATGAGTAATAAGCTATGTCCGTATGTATATATATATTTGAGTTACAATTCTTGTGTTTATGCACATATGGGACAATAATGAAAATGACTATGTATTAAACGGTAACCCAAACTAGTTGAATGAATAAATAAATAGAAAAACCATGCAATTGAATAAGTATACACATAGAATAATTAAGAGGAAATAAATAAACAATTGTACAAAATGTCGGACGGAGGGAGATAAGGGGTGGTCGATGGAAAACAAAAAAAAAACATGAATCCACAAAAATAAGCAAATCAATGTTTTAAAGTAAAATAAATAGATAGATAGATTTGTATATGTACATGTACCTTCTCCTTTTTCAGCAGCAACAACAGTTTTTAATGCTTGAATAAATTGATGAAAAAATAATTTATCATTAGTAGTTGAAACACTATACTGTGGAGTGTTTAGTGCTTCGGAATAACAAATACGAAACAATAGAAAGTAAACAATCTTAGAAATGCAAACAAAAACGGCAGTGGGATAGATTTTGTATAGTAGTAACTAAAAAAACAACAACAACCATACTTGCACACCAATTCCAAGAGATGAAAAAAGAAGGAATGTGCAGTTGATCTTGAAGAAAATCATGTTGATGAACAACAAACGCAGCTATAATTGATCATCTGATTTTAATCGCTTGACTGGTGTTGTAAAAGCTCTGGAAATAATGATTTGTAGAAAAAAAAGTAGATTGTACAAAATTATCACAGAAAACTATTACATAAACGAGACTTAATTATTCAAATGATTAGAAATATCATATGTAGAACATAACCTCATTTTATTTAGACTAAAGGTTTATTGTTAAACAGATCAGTCAATTGGTGGTTGGAGGCGGTCAACAGGAAACACTGGACCCGGGTTTTGTGCTACTTGGCACTCGTCAGCAAGGTGTACCTGTAATCTTTAGGAGACTGATGGAATCGATCCCGTGTCACGGCCCGAATAGCTCAGTGGTAACGTCTCTGACTGTGAAGTTGGGTGACACGGAATCGAATCCATTAGGGAGCACCAGTCCCCTAAAGATTACGGGTACACCTTGCTGACGAGTGCCGAGTAGCACAAAACCCGGGTCCAGGGTTTCCTGTTGACCACCTCCAACCATCATCTTATCTCAATATATAGTGCACGCAATGTCGAGCCACCTAGACTAGTGGCCACATTGTGTTATAACGTATAGATTTTTGGCCTCTTAATATATATGTATATGTCCAATGATACAGAAAATACGTACGAGCAGTCTTGGGTGCTATTCGGTCCTTCCTATCTGCCTAGCCAAGCCGTTAAGTCCAAAACACAAATAACAGCCTCAGCAATATGAATCATTATTTACAAGCATACTGGGTTATATATACTAACCAAACAGACCACATATATCAAAAATAGAAAAATAACATTTGTACAGTAATTGGCCAATGTGGCTGTAGCTAGGGGGAAAGTAATCAATAATAATAGTTCCAAGGTCAAAATAAAGGTTATGATAAGAGGAACACGGAAACGATTAGGTCACTTATTTAACAACTATCCAATAGGGAATGGGCATATTGTATTTGTCCATAAATAGACCTCAGATTTAGGTCATTTATTTAACAACTATCAAATAGGAATAGGCGTATTACATCTGTCCATAAATGGACCTCAGATTTATGATTCATAATTCGCCAGGGGATACAACACATTGCAACTTGATTGATAGCATTCGACCATCACTAAGAAGGACTTGACACGCATGACATTGATCACCACCCAGTGATCAATCAATTGTGATGAGATCAGTCAGTCGTCATTAACGCTTAGGGCTCGTGCTGGGACTGCACTAACTCCCTACATACCTCATTAATACGATACGATGAGTGGCAAAGCAATCGAAATAATGTGGTAGCAATGCTGAAGACTGAACATTAAGAATATATTACGAAAAGACGGAAAAGTATGAGGGAATACTAGGACCCAACATTGAGTATGGTACATGTACTTGCGCCACTGAGCCATTTTGAGAGACGTCACCTAACGTATCCAACTATTGGTTATGATAATCAAGCTGATCCCAAGTCAGCAACTACCGACATGACTCAGATCAACAGTCAATGACTTTATACGCTGATCTCATGTTTTGCTTTGGTCGCCCCTAATGCTCAGTCACACAACACAATAAACAATGATTAAGCATCTGTCGTACACGCCCCAACCATCTCAGTTGAAGATTACCAACCTCATCGACTGATTTGTGATCTTTTATTGATACCATATTTCCAGACATTGTTCAATCGATGACGTGCTTATGAATTAATGGTTATTGCTACTTTCGCATCAAACTATAATAGGGTTAGTCGCTTTCTCGTTTAGATAAGTATCTAGCTTGTTTAATAACTAAATTTCAGGCGTATAAAATGTAGATATCAATGTACTTAAGCACACTATTCCGAATCCTGAAAAGTTAAATCAGGTAATTCAGAAGAAATCCCAATTGTTACTAATTTATAATGCTTTCCATGGTTGTTAAAGCTTAGCTATATGTTTCATTGATAAATATGAACATGTTGGACAATATTCCTATCAAGAGCCTTGTTGATTACGTCAAATGTTCCTTTCCATTCGACAAATATGTTTGCAATGATACCTGGTAAGTAAACCCATAATACAAAATCTACCCGAAATGATTTCACCATCAGTGGATCATCTACGTATTACCACGCGTGTCCAACTAGCAATTAACCAATAGTTATAAGCTGTTATGTTCAACTTTAATGGACTTACCCTTCTTGTGATGACCCTAAACTTAGAGTACGCTTAGTAATCGGTTGTGAGGCATTTGTTGCTTGGAAATTGATGGATTGAGGGTTTATCCCAGCAACAGAGGAAGGTGTATTAGATACATCCTGAAGCCAACGAACTTGTGTTGCCGGTCCATATCCTTTTTCATTCCGAGCAGCAATCCGAAAGATCACAGCAGGTTTTGAACTAAGATCTAAATGAGCAGTAGCCAATGTTGCAGAAGTAACAGTTGCTGAAGGTGATTGACCACAATATACACGAACAAATGCCATGCCAGATGGTGTAGAACCGACCTATGGGGAGAGGGAGAAAGAAACAATTAGTAGGGAGGTAAGGGAATCACAATCAATCACACTGTGAATATGATAAGAAAACTAAGCGAACGCTACAGATCAGGCTAGCGAACCAATATCCCTATATATGTTATGCAAATAAGTACAGTTGTAAAACATTTTGTGCACCTATACAAGTCAGTACGTATTTTGAAGAATTAAAGCACACGACATGGAATGGATTTACCTCATCACAATAAATCTGTTGGTGTGAGATTTCTCAAGCATTCAACTATAAATACGACTCCAGTCAAAAAAATTACAATCGGTAGAAATTTAGACAAGCCTTAAAGTTAACCCTCCAGTTCACTTTACCTTACCTCACATAGTTTTTCTTAATTATGCTAATTTTGATCAATTTTTGTTACTTCTTATTGATATAAACTTCACGGTATAGGGATTAATATCAATCTGATATTAAAAAATGACCAATCAATGTTCAAACAATGTTCATATGATGAACATGATAGTGATCTAACTTAATTTGATTTTTCTTTTAACTAATAACACGAATATTCTGCATGGTAGATGTACGGTAAGCCCATTGAAAAATTTTTCACTATTTGTCGACTTACTGTAACATTTGACCCACTATGTGTGAGTTCGATTGAACGAGTATCTGTACATCAATCTTTATCTATCCTTTCATTGGTTGCTTACATAGGCAATCAATAACTTACCCACAATCGATTAACATTCATAAAAAATATGGATTTTTTAACATATCGTCTCATTTACCTGCGCAAGACTTTACTAATTTTTAAGAAAAAATACTATCCCAACAACTGTTGTTCTGGCTTTTGGATATTCTCGAGTAAATTCATTGTGCCACACGGAGAATTAGTCTACTTAAATACTCAGTTAACGGAATATCACTTATTAGAGTCAAATAAAGAGGAATCAACCTCTACAGATGTTATGGAAAGAAAACTGTAAAACCAACACAAACTGATGATGGGAAGACGAGGTAGTGTTTAAGCATACTAGGCACTAATGGTAGCTGGGTCGTATTAAGAGAAATCATAACACACAGACTTTTTCGAATTTTAGAATACTTCTCATCTGCGAAGATACTTTTACGAGAAGCAAGTAGTTGGTTACAAAACTACTACATGGATTGTTATTCTTTATCAAACTCTTATGATATTGTGAAGTTTAAGGAACACGATCAACACACCCACATTAATCATTCTGATTCCAATTTAAAAATTTTAATCACTTGATCATTTTACAGGAAAAAATATGGGGAGATTTTCTTTAATGAATTAATGAGGATAGATTTCATGAGTATTTTTATTAAATAGATATCTTACGGTAGTCCTAACTGTAAACAAAGTAGTGACTGTTCATAAATAAACATCAATCGATTATAATTCCGTTACTCAATCTATTCTCCAAAATTCCCCTACTTATGTATGAACTGAGGCATCTGTAGTGTAACTACTTACTCAGTTTTCTGGTATTCTGAAAATGACCTTAAGTATTCACGTAGGTTATTGATCATGTGACCATTACGATAGCAAAGTTAATGGACTCAGTGTTACTGATGTATAGAAGAAAACAGCGATTTACAGGTAAATTTTCACAATACTTAATATATGTTCTTCACCAATGAAATAACTGACCTTGCTCTCTGCAGAATCTTGTCCTGCAGTCTGAGATTTGACAGCTAAATAGACAGAATACTCTGTGATCTTCCCCGCTGTATTCTGAGGCGCTTCCCAAGTTAAATGTGCACCACTGTCCGATTTAGTTATTTTTATAGCACTGGGAGCCCCTGGATAACCTGGTAAACAGGTTTTGAATGCGCTTATCTCTGACCAGGGACCTCGACCACAAGCATTGAGGCCTGCGACACGGAATTTGTAGGCTGTTCCAGGAGCGAGTTGGAATTTAGGACCCTGTGTAGTTAGCCCATTGGATCCAATCCCATTGGGACCTTGTAATGCACTGATAGCCTGTTTATTTAAACAATATAAAGTATTACAATAAATCGTGAATTGTGTTCTCAAAACGATTTCGGACACAAACAAATACAGTCAAATGCCATTTGTTAAACAGATGGATCAGTTTTTATGAATGGATGCTTGTTTCCCATTTATTAAAGTGAATTTACTCAACAATCAAAGAGCAGGATCAAACTGTAATGATAGTGCTATGTTCAATGGACAGTGATAAGTTAACATCTATAGTATTAATTATACTGATCATGTGAAGTGCAACAGAGAATTGTTTGATCAATCTAGCTGATTAAAACTACAGATTTTTTTATTACTACCACGAACAGTAATCATTAGAAGTTAATACACGGTTTCAAGTAAAGAATATTTATTCAACTGATATTGAAAGTATTATGAAGAGGAGCATGATAATGTAACTTGTTTACCAAGTACAGATTTACGTAATCGGCATCTCCTCACGATGCTCCACTGCCTTGTGGACTAGACCTTTAGGTCAAAGGCTCCGGATGTGGCCCCCTAAGAAAACCACCTGCTTCAGTCTGGGCGCCTGGGCAGTATCACAGCCCTCACACAAATCGAATGAGATTTGTGAGGCGTATATTTATCTGGCGCTTTTTGTACCAATATTTATGTGTTTAAATAATAATAAATAAAATAAATCGGCTTTAAGTCACACTTTTTTAGCGTGATGGCTTGCAAATAAAACCTGACTGTCTAAACCAAAGCAGATGGGACAGGGTTCGAAACTGGGAACTACTAGCTGAAAACAGCGTACTTTAACCACTAGTGAGATATCGTTCCGCATAGAGTTATTATTGCTAAAACAATGTATGATGGACATCATTGGTCTATTAGATAAGCACACCGTAGTTTATCAACATAATAAACAAACTATGATTCATGGAGAAAAATGAATAATGGGTCTCTACCCCATAATATTCTCATGAACGTAGGTCTAAATACACAACTTATATGAAGAGGTAAGCTTTTCCTTATCCTTTATTGTTATTCAGTCATCTAGATGGTTTATTAACTTACATTTTATCACTTTTCAGAAATAAATATTGCCTAAGTTGCATAATGATATTTTTCAAAGTATAAGTCATGGCTGTATAAACGTACTTCCATATGTACACCAGCATCATTTGTACACGCTGAATACATTGTTACAGTATAATTCGTCGACTTGATAACGCCAACGTCATGCCAAGAATTATCACCTCGACTAATCAATGTACCAGGTGTTACAGTAGTCGAAGAATTTATTAAAGAACAATTGGTAGATGTTGTTACGATTGAATGAGAATTCGCGACCAAACCTGTCACAGAACGAGAAATTTGTCCCCCTCCTAAAGTGGAAGATAATGGTGACAGGCGTGAATAAGGGACAGAAACAGCAACTAACCGACCAGAATTTGAATTACAAATAACATGTGAATCAGAATTGGAATAAACTGTAGAATGTGAGATGACTGAATCATTTTCTGTCGAAAAAGTAGACAAATACAACAAATATGAATTTCATGGAAGACAATGATAGTACAAACTTAAAAGAAGACCTGTTGTTATGAAGGAAGGTTTTTCCGACTTAATTAGACGAAAATTTTCGATTGTTAAAATCGATGAATACAATAGAAATCGACAGAGAAACGCAATGATATAACATTGCCGAGTGAATGCTACTCACGAGGATCCCTGGACAATTAGCAAACCAAGACAAAATCATTAATCAGATGAGTGATTTTTCATGTAATAAAATAACATAATATGAACATAAAATGTCATAGGTGATTGGAGGAAATTAGCTTATGGGTTACTCATGCTCAAACCAATTAACACCTTGTTGCTGGACATAGTTTTCAGGCGCTGTACCACCAGTAACTCATTACAGACCTACTTACTTATGCCTGTTACCCCTTGTGGAGAATGGGCCGCTTACCAGCACTGCCCATCCAACCCTGTCCTGGTCAATCCTTTCCAGTTAACATTCATCCTTTTCATATTTGCTTCTAATTCCCGAAGTAATGTGTTTCTTGGCCTTCCTCTTTTCCGCTTCCTTTCCGCATTCCAAGTAAGGGATTGAGTCGTGAGGCATATTGGTGATTTCCTTAATGTGTGACCTATCCACTTCCAACGTCTTTTCCTAACTTCCTCTTCAGCTGAAAGCTGGTTTGTCCTCTTCCATATAACGCTGTTGCTGATAGTATCCGGTCAGTGAATATTGAGTATTTTGCGTAAACAACTATTTATAAATACTTGCACCTTGTTGACGATGGTTGAAGTAGATCTCCGTTTCAGCTCCATACAGTAGAACTAACTGTCTTGACGTTCGTTTTGAAGATTCTCACTTTGAAGTTAGTTGATAGTCGTTTTGAGTCCATATCTTCTTCAATTGTAGAAATGCTGCTCTTGCTTTGCCGATCCTCATCTTTACATCTGCATCCGATCCTCCTTGTTCATCAATGATGCTTCCCAGGTACGTGAATGTTTCCACCTCTTCCAGAATTTCGCCATCAAATGTGAGTGGGTTGGTGTTCTCCGTATGGTATTTGAGAATCTTGCTTTTTCCTTTGTGTATGTTGAGGCCTATTGATACAGAGGCTGCTGTTACATTTGTTGTCTTCGTGTTGACAGGCATCAATTGACGGTAGCCTGTTCAATATACTGGGCCACCTATTTTTTATTGCATTTAGTCAATCGTGAGTAACTTAGAAACTTAGGTATATAAGCATCAGTCTAAGTTTCCACGACATAATAGCGCAGAAAAATGCTGAAAGAGCAGAAGTAGTATTTGTGATAATAGAAAGTTTTAGGCATAAATGCTCCGAGAAAATGAGGATTCGCGGAATAGAAAGCCTATGATAATCAAAAAAGATAGGATATAAGAGAAGATTAGAAGTAAATGAAACGATGCTACTGTGAACAATTCTGAGTGATAACACCGAGCATATCCCTTTTTAAAGGAGGAAATGCTACGAACCACCATGGTGGTACTTTTTAAGTTTCTAGTAATTTGGTTCGTGATAGTTTGTAAACACTTTACAAAAGCATGTAAATACACATGGTTGGCAAATGAAATTAGTTGATTAAAACAAACAAGAAAATTTAAGCCAACAAATGAACATGGTGACCCAGAAGTTTGAGTAGGTCACCACGTACTTGGTAGACCTTAGAATAATGGGAGATGCCGCAAAACATTTCAGTCGACATTTGATGGTGTATATTTGAATGTAAGTATTTAATTGTTACAAAATAAATAATTGATATATGCATACTACCTAGTTTTATCAGGGTTTTTGTTTTCAAGGTCTAGGACAGATGATGGTTTATTAAAGAGGCTATAATTAAGATATCATATCGGTAAATCCATTAGGGTTATCAAAGCGAGGATTTCAGTGCTTCTGTATGAACTAGGACAGTCAGGAATTTTGAGTAACCAGATGGAATAATGTTAAAACCTTAGGTCAGTCAGTCAGTTACAACGTAGGACTAGGCACATATATGCATCGGTCCAAGTTGCCATACCTCGTCAGCACAACAGGATGAACGCCGGATTCATAGGACTAGTTAATTTAGTGGTGGTAGTATATAAAAAATAGGTTGTATATAAGGATATAGTATAGTAAGGAAGAAAGTTATGAAGCAATTTTAATCTCAAGGTTTAAGGGAAGATGAAGAGTATATACACCTACGCCATTGTGATCGATTCTGAGTCATGTCACCTACAGTCTCCAACCATTGGTTACGATAGTCGTGCGGATCCCAACCAAGTAGCCTGCATCTACCAGCATGGCTTAGACTAGGTGTTGACTACCAATCAATTTAACTAATACACTTCCCACTATCCTTAAAGATCTCTGTTGTTAACGTGTAGAAATATGTAATCACTGGGAATACACCTGACCGTTGCTGCTACCTTGACGTGGTGGTCGGGCTTACCTATCGTGATGAACCAATCGAGCTATACTGACTGGAACAATCGTTCCTCAGGGTACTACCATACCAGGCAGGTAGGTTGAAAAGCGGTAAGACTAAAAGCAGCAAACCGAAAGTATAGAGTATAGAGTTCCACTTATGTTTTAGAAATAGCTTCATATCGATCCTACCAAAAGATGTTTTCGTCCCAACAATAAACACTGAGATAGCAGACAGTGAATAAAAAGGAACAAGTGTGTGTTGTGTTAATTCAAGATTTATAGTCTACTCTATTTGAGAAGGATAGAATCCAAATCATCAGTGACCGTTTCATCTTCAATGTGATAACACGAGTTGGTACTTTATGCATCAATGTCCTGTAAGCTAATACGCTGTCTCAATGAGTTTGTGAATAGAGAACTGAGAAGGTTCACGAACACCTTAAAAGTAAGATTTGAAACACAACCTGTTTCTTAGATTAACAATTTTTTATTGCTTATTAATCAACCTTTGCAAAACACGTTTTATTAATTATAAAGAATGTTACAACTGATGGAGAGAAATTGATTCATTCACGTGACAATGGAAAACATTTTGTCCATGCAGTGATTTGTCAAGAGTGTTAAAAATTAAATAACATGAATTGAGTAGCAAATAAAATTGTAAAACGTAACAATATGTATTTGGCTTAAGGAATCTTAGGATTTTGAATAATAAATTGAAAATTATGGACTTACCGTGATCATCACCACTTCCACTTCGGCGAGCAGCAACTAACGCTAATGTTTCCAAAGGATCAGTAAGAGAACTACCATTTCCTTCTTTCTCATCTACATATAAAATTGGAATAAAACTATTGATAAATCTTTTAATTGAACGCTTGATTAGGTTTCCTAAGTTCTTCTAGTAACACCCAGGCTAAATTGGCATGTCAACTTGAACACGAGAGAAAAAGTGCGAAATATACAATGAACGCTTTATCACAAAATTAGTTTATGTACAGAAGATCTATGGTATTTATAGCATTTCATATGGCCTTGGGTTTCTGGAAAGTTTCGGAACGCTACTATTAAACATAGCAGCTAGATAGGTAATAATCCAATCAGAAATGTGACATGTGACTTTCCAATTTCCAGATGTTTCTCAGCGTATTAAGGGCTCTTATTGGCTTGTTCGAGTAATTTTCTGGGTCTCTCTAACAAGTAGAAGAGTTTGAAATAACCATAATAGTGTTAAAACAAGACATCAAGCAACCAAGAACACGTTAGATGAAAAAGCTTTATAAACGTCATTCAGATACAACGGAGGACCAGGCACATATATGCATCGGTCCAAGTTGCCTAATCTCATTAAAACAGCAAGATGAACACCAAATTCATAGGAGTAGTTAATTCAATTATAGTTATATATAAAAGATTGTATATAGGGATATGACACAGGAAGAAAGAATAATTTCATAGAAACAAAAGTATGAAGTAATTTTAATCTCACGGTCTAAAAGAAGACAGAGAATGTATACACCGACGCAATTGCGACTGATTCTGAGCCATGTCACATATCGTCTTCAACCGAGTAGTTTGCATCTACCAAAATGGCTAAGACCAGAAGTTAGTGACTTCAAGCACTGATGCCACGTTTTGGTTTGGCCGCCCCTAACTTTCTTTCAACCATCCCCTACACTAGTCAACATAGCGCGTCGTGGTAATCGGTGTTCAGGAATACGTAACACGTGGCCCAACCATCTCAGTCGATGAGGATTTATGACCTCATCAACCGATTTACCATCATTCCCTAATACCCTGTATCTAAACTCACTATTACTTACCCGGTGATCCCAGTAGATGCGAGCAATGTTTCTAAGGCATCTGTGGTCAAATACTGGTAACCTGTGAGTATCTTCTACTCTTAATGGCCATGTTTCACAGTCGTAAAGTGGAACAGAGTGAACAGCTGCACAGTATACCCGTCCCTTAATTGAAAGACGCATATCTCGCCTTCACCATAAGTGACGTAAGTTGGCAAAAGCCAAACAAGCTTTCTGAATTCGTGGAGATTTCTTTAAATACCAATCCATTAGTGATTATCAGACTTCCAAGATAAGTGAAGTTGTCGATGCGTTTGACTACTTCACTCCCTATCCTTTGTTCAGGTGTTGATGCGAGCCAGTCCTGAAGCAACAATTTGCATCCTTCTATGGAAATCACAGAATGATTTTGATTCTTTCCTATATATTGGGACAATCAACGATAGTGACCAGTCAGAGGGGATTACATTCAGTTCCCAGATTTTGGCTTAAACTATGCACTACTACAAACAGAAGTGAAGTTCATATTAAGTAGATGCACGAGCATTGTTTGCTTTTGAAAACAGAAAATGAATAAATACTAAAAATGATATTAATAATACATTAATCCTTGAACCGAATCTACCAGATCGTTGATTTGGTTATGAATACAACACAATAGTTTATTATTCACATAAAATTGGTAAATGTAACAGGGGAAAGGTGGATTAATCCAATCTGCCCGACCCTGTACAACACACATGCTCTCACAGCCACTAACAGAAAAATCTTACTCACTGCCTTCTTGGGGAGAGGATGTTGTCTACCGAATCGAGAAGACGAAAAGCGAATGTTCGGAGTTTTAACCGGGTCTGCAGATATGGAGGTTTCACATAGGAGAGTTGGAAAACTCTTGTTCTAAACCAGTAGTCTACATGGGCTACAGGATCCTGAAGGAACAAATGGTGTATGAACCAAATATTGGTCACCGGCTACCATGGGACTGCATTTCCTAACGCTGCTCCACTGCCTTGCGGATCAGACCTTTAGGTCGAAGGCTCCGGGTGTGGGCCACTAAGAAAACCACCTGCTTCAGTCTGGGCACCTGGGCAGTATCACAGCCCTCACACAAATCAAATGAGATTTGTGTGGCACATATGTAATCTGTGTCCATTTGTACCAATATTTATGTGTTCAAATAAATAAATAAATAAAAACAAGTATTCAAGAGAAAGACCACAAAACTAACCTTTAGCATGTACTGGATCTTCATAAGACCCTGAATCTCCTCTGAAACTTTTTTCATTTTCAGTACTAAAAGAAACATTTTCGGATAATACATTAGGCTTGGTATCAATCAAACTTCTGACTGCCTGATCAGTTTCTTTTGAAACGCTTGCTGAATTTTGGTCTGCATAAGCCGATGTATTGTCTTCACCAATGTCTGCAAGCAGTTCAGCAGCAGCTTCAACGGCTAATGACGTATGTAAATCGGAATTTGCATCCTTATTAAAGAGTAATAGGAAAAAACAAAAGTATTCACTTAACATTGAGTCAGGCTATAATGAATGGCGAACCATGGGAGAAATTCAAGTAAATAAACAGATTATATTATATAAGACTAATAATTTCATCTCAAGTGATAATTTAGATAATTTGTCAGTTGTCGTTCATATTCACTGAAAAAAAAAATACAGACGAATACTAAGTGTAGAAAATATTCAAGTTTCTGTGAAGTCTAACTGCGAACTTGCTGCTTATGACATTAGTTCATCGCGCCTTTTCAATATTTCCAAAGATAGATGATGAATCAGCTTTTCTGAGTCAATTTCGCTGGTGAAATCTCGGTGCATAAACAAAAGTTTAGTTTAACTTTGATCAATATACATCGGTAGTCAAATATTCGACTGCGTTAGCGGGACATAGATTTGATTAAAGCATGTTTCGAGCACGATTGTATTGAGACACGTTTACTGGCTACTTTCTAGCTAATCAGCGTTACGGAGACTTGGAGAAAAATCTAGAATACTCTTATGTAGAAATTACAAATACACTAACATTTTTCTTATTGTGATTCCTACTTCCATCCAACCATGTTATTTAGAGTATCCGTGTTCTGATTTGAGAACTTGTAGTGTGAGGTAGTGTTTAAGAATACTAAGCAATAATAGCTGAGTCGTAATAAGAGAAAACTTAAAAAACTGTTTATCACAAAACGAATCCACAGTTAACTCAGTTTAATGCAACTCAGAATCCACACTACCCATCTGGTTAAGTCTGGATAAGGGAAAATAAACCCCATTGTGTGACAATCTCCCGTCATTTTAAGATTGGGATACAGTAATTCAGGGTGGAAAATATAGGTAGATTATCTTTATTCAACCACAGATACTTCTGCAGCATGTGATGAAACCACTAAATAAGTAATGTTTAAGTTATATGTCAAGTCTTAAACAAATAAGTTAGTTGTTAATGTAGAGTTGTAGTGGATAAGTTATTTGATATGAATGTAAAATGACTGCGAAATAATATACTGACGCTTGCAAAAGTGAGATTAGATTGAACAAAACTTAAGGTTGCTACGACAAGATACAGAACTAGTCCATTAATACAAACATTTAAACAAACTAAGAGACATGAACTTACAAGAACAGTTCCCTAAAATAAATCCTTTTTTTTTTAATCTGTGGATGTACAGACTAATTATTCAAGAAAAACTTTCCAGTTCATTTATAAATCCTTCGTATGTGACCAAACTTGAAACTCGTATACAGGCTGATTTTAATAATATACATAGACTAAACGTTTTGGGTTAAAGCGCTAATCCTTGTTAATTAGAACGAAACAATCAAGATATTTACAATTCAATAACCACATACAAGGGTATGAACTATTTTGTTTGATGGTTACAGATGGTACTCGGATGCATAAACCATGTCAGATCTAGTTGGTCTCAGGCCTGATGCCAAATATCTATCTAGATGGTGTTCGGAATAGATCAATAGGAAAACACCAAATCCCAGTTCTATATTACTATATTAAGTAGTTTAGTTGGACTAACTTGAAGTTATCTAGTAAGTAACAGATCACCAAATAAACAATGGAAACGATGTATCCGCTTTTTTACTATGAAGTTAAGCTTGTCCTCCACTAACATAATGCAGCTATAATGTTTTAGACCTTTAATATAAACAGTTAACTATCGACGATTGTTACAAATTCGTTTATGTCAGTAATCTAACAAGATATAACCATAATCAAGAAATCTCATTTTGACTTATATGTAGTGTTACTCCTAGGTAGAAAAGCTTACTGTTGTATAAGCTGGCGAATGTTGACTTCCAGTTTGTAGAATATCCACATTTCCTTTCATATGTAACTTTTCTTTGACTAAATTAGACTCCAAAATGATAGCTGATGAAGCATCGTTTTTAGTACTACCACCGTCCTCACCAACATCATCGTCATCATCAATAGTACCATCCAATTGTGGAATAGTTTGGAGAATCGACGATGTATTATTACTTGGATCATTTGCATTACCATGAGTTGAATCATATGGATCCCGTCGGACTAAGGTTACCTGTGTTTGATTTGCTTGTCGTATTATTTGGCTAGTAGCACCTCCAGAAGATAAGTACAAATTTGATGATGCAGGAATGGCAGCTGATGAGGATACTGAAAGTAAAATAAAATGAAGTCCAAGATTTTAAGTTCCACATTAACAGTGCTTTGCATCACAATATAACATTAGCTGGAGTAACTAGTGTGTATCAGAGTAGAAAGTAAGTATTTTACCCTAGTCATCAAATCCACTTGATAGTAAACACTCCCTTCAAACAACGATAACGAGCTGAAAATCATCAATTTGTGAACTGATATGACAGGATACCTTTAATCTGCCGGTAGCCCCAACAAAGGAAGAAGCACAACGACAGGCGATCTATGATCTAGGCGGTCACTACGCCAACGGCGACAGACAGTCAAGATGCAAGTGGACCCCAAGAATGTTCGTTATTAAAAAGAGATGTTGGGGATGTTAGATCCCTAGAACTAATTTGGTAAATGCCCTATTTTCGCAATTTTATTTTAAAAATTTGAATTTCCTGTTTTTGTGCCAAAAGCTTTCATTTTCACTTTCATGTCGTATTTCCGACTTGGGAGGATCTTAAACGCTACTGGTTTGTTTTATCTTTTAGTATACTATTTTGTAATGCTTCCCAATGACAATTTTGCACTGTATATATGCGTTTGATTTGTGCCTGTTGTGATTGTGCTTCTGGCTGCTTGTGGAATATATTTCCTCACTTCGGACTTGGATTTCTGACTCGAGTTAGAGGGGCTGAGACGCGTCAGAATAGCTAGCTCATTGATCTTAGGTTACAGACTCTTTATCCCGTACTTAGATTATGGAACTCGTAATCGCTTTAAACATAACATGAACACAGCCATTTCTAAAGCTTTCGACCTGAACTTGATAACTAGAAATGAGACCTGAAATCAACTGATGATGAGTACACAACCAATGGCGTACATAATAATGAATTACTGAGACTAGATAATTCCATACACAATTATTCCGGGTGTGCACAGTAGAGAATGATGGGTACTCATTATGCCTATGATTAAACTAACAACATAGTGTGACAGAATACAACACTTCCTAAGGAGACAAAAAGTAAAATGTCCTCCTTTGTGAATGTATGAACCTAATACAGACTACTTTGCATTATAAAAAATGAAATAAAAAAACTACGAAAACTTCGGAAATTCACAACAGCCTTACTTGTTGGACTCATGATAACTATTTGCTGTCCAGTTGGTCTGTGTACAGGACCTGAAACTTGAACGGTTGTCTGGCCCGGACGGCATACACCACCACCAGCAATTAAAATAGGTTTACCAGATGCAGACATTTGAAGCATCGTTGCTGGAATAGCTTTGATTACTTTCGGAACTATAATGACAAAAAAGTAAACAGGGTGAAACTTAGTCATGAAAAAGGAAACAAGTAAACAAAAACGAAAATATGTGTTTCATAGGTGGTAAAATTAGAGTAGGATTTAATAATTTTATGGAAATAAGCTGAGTATTCAGGCTACTATAGAAACAAGTGAACTAAATTTCTTTTCACTAAACATACTCATAATGTGCAACAGAGAAACTTCAATTGGACAGCTTCTTTAAACTTTCAAAATAAACTAAACGAATAACTACTGTATTACGAATTATGTAAGTCCATACGATAGGTTGGAAATAAGACAGGAGTTTAGAAAAATTAAAGTTAAAACATATAAATATAAGTAAACCAAGTTTTGAAAAAAAATTACTGATCACCTGAAACGCCAGTTCCAACTGATGCTTGTTGTACAGTGATGGTTTTAGAAGCAGTTGAAGATGAAGTTGTAGTTGAAACTAGTTTAATAGGTTTAATTAAACCGGTTGACTTGTTTACAATGTGTACTACTTGATTTGGATTCGAATTAACTACACCAGAGTTATTTGCGACAGAAACTGCGGAAACCACTTGCTTGCCACCAACAGTAATAAGCTATGTAGAGAAAAACACGTTCATGTTAATAAGTTAGTGAAAAAAGAAAAACAAGTGTCGATTTTAAACAGAATATTTTACTCAGGTATCATATAGAACATAACATAGAATAAATTATTCTACATCCTACGACCAACAGAAAAATAAAAATAAATACAACATGAAAAATAATACTAATCTATACCTAATTCACTCCTATAATAATGGCAGGATTCTAGTCTAGTACTCACCCTGGATGGTGAGCAGATTGAAGTAGTTGAGAAGTTCGTGCATCTAGGTAGCTACATAAGTGCTGATGGTGGCGTGAGTGATGAGATTGATGCACGTATAATGAAAGCCAGAGTGGTTTATGCCAATCTGGGCCATCTTTGGAGCCTTGGCGATGTTAGTCTGGCTGTAAAAGTTCGGATCTACAACGCGTCGGTGAGAGCAGTTTTGCTCTATGCTTGTGAAACCTGGCCTCTTCGAGTTGAGGTTGTTAGAAAACTCTGTGTTCGATCATCGTTGTCTCCGAAGGATTGCTAACATTCAGTGGCAACACCATGTTAGTAATGAAGAGGTTTAGCATCGTGTGTTCGGGCGCAGAGACGATAATTCAATTGGTGTCACCATCTTGAAACACCGACTTCGGTAGCTTGGACATGTTCTACGAATGTCGTCCCAGAGGCTTCCACGTCGTGCATTATTTGCCGACTCTGGTATTGGTTGAAAAAAGCGGAGATGTGGTCAGTGTATGATATGGTGTCTCAGTATGAAAGAAAGCTGCAAAGGGCTGGCTTCTGTTGGTCCTTCACGACTCCCTGGCTGGGGTCTGAGAGATGGTGTTACACAGTGGCTAGAGACGTTATCAGATATTGCTCAGAATAGAAGCCAGTGGCATGCCTGCTGTAACCTTCTTTTACTTTCTTCATAAAGAGTGGTTTTAACTTTCTTAACTGAAAGAGTCTTCTGGTTGTACATTTCGGTCCCCCCCATCATTACTCTTCACTTTTTTTTCATCCTTTTTTCTTTTATATATACGCATCTTCCTCCTTTCTCCTCCCATTCTCATTATTTTGTGTGGGGCATATGTATTTGGTGCCCTTTTGTACCAATATGTATGTGTTTAAATAAATAAACCTAATTCACCATACAAACTGTAATGGGTGAAAACCTTGCGTTAAAATGCTAAATATGAAGTATTTAAAAACACCATTGACTTCCCTAACAAGTGGTGTGTAGGCTGTCGTGGATACACGTTTTAACTATTATTACTATTATCAAAAGGGGTTTTGTGGAGATTTTAGTAATTTTTAGAATTGAGATCATGAGTCAATTGAAGCTAGACCACCATGGAAAACCTGGAAGCATGGTGGTCTAGCTTCAATTGACTCATGATCTCAACTCTAAAAATATTATTACTATTATTATTAATGGCTTTATTCAATATTATATTATGGTGCAATATATAATTCTCAACACGAGATATTTCAACAAGTTCTTTTTACAAAAAACAAAAGAAAAACAAGAAGGAAGCTGGGAAAAAATACATGAATCGGTAACAACTTTTCAATTAGAAACATGTTTAAGAATACAGGTTATTGACTAGGTCAACTCTAACAACCTGTTCGTCATAGAGTATATTTGCTAGGTAAGGGTATTATAGAACTTTTATACCTTTGCTTGAGTGTATAGATGTTAATGTATTGACGTCCCGTTCTACCAGAAGATATACAAGGAGAAATATATGAATGAAGGGGATGGTTAGTATTTGATAAGATAACACCTGCCAAGAGTTTGGAAGACTTTAGATGTCCATCCACAACTATATTATTAATGACCTCTAAAGATTCACCACACACTCTGCTAACTGCCTTCAGCACCCTCTACAATACAGTAAAGTCTTTCCTCAAAAGCTCGAGAAAGAATAATAGGTAATATGCAAGAATTGAGAATTTGTAAGAGTAAATTTCGAGTAATCCAAAAAGTATACAACTTCTTTACGGAACACTTTCTTCGATAACAGTAAAACATGAGAAAATCAAGAGAGATCAGAGGAAAAGGTAACAACCAAGATAATTGACTTTCGACACTGTGTTTATCAAAGTCTCCAATGGCACAAGCATTATGGGATCCAAACATGATGTTTAGGTGTTGTTCGTGTCTCAGGCTAAAGTTAACAGCTCGATATTTAGATGGATTAAGTATGAGACCATTAACAACAGACCACCATTCAATACGAAACAAACACTCATTCATTTCTATGGGATGTAAAGAGGTAGAAATCGGCAAACATACAGTGAGATCATCCGCATATTTCAAGAAATTGTTTGCTGTAAAAGATAGCAGATCATGCAGAAAAAAAAGAGGAAAGAACAGGTGAAGGAACGACTCCTTGTGCCAAACCTTCATGAGACAGTAGAGATGTTGAACACTTTCCTCCAAACACATTGTACTGTTCTCTTTCAGAGAGGTAGGAACATAGCCAGTTGGCTATCAAGCTGTCAGTGTTGACGCTGATAAACTTGTTAAGTAGAAGTTGTCTTGGGATAGAATCAGAAGCAGAAGTATAGTCCAGAAAAGCGCATTGAACATACTTCTTACACTTTTCATTTGAAAACTTGGAACATGCAAAAGATCGACACTAGCTCACATTTACAAACATAGCTACACCACCGTCACATCCCTTTTTATTGCTTGATCGATCCTGATGATAAATATTGAGATCATGTGGTGATACTAAGCAATCGTTCTGTAAATCAGTTAACCGAGATTCTTGAATTGTGATGACACCACAATTACGATACACGTTTTGACTTAATAGGATTTGAAGATAGTCCACCTTGGTAAATTAATGATCGGCAGTTAGAATTTAGCAGCTAGAAAATCGACATACAATTAATGTTCATTCACTTCAATCCATATTGCCAACCACCACAAAGTTTCCTATTGTACTTTTTTGTAACGTGCGCAGCGAAAAGTCGTAAGCTTTTCAGAGACGCGCCGGCATAGATTATGCGATTAATAGACATAATGAGGTGTTAAAGCAAAATAAAAAACAGATAAATTGTTGGAATAGTTAGATGAAAGAAACGGGTAGTTCAGATATTCAAGCCGCTGTAAGCTGAAAATAACTCAACCAAATATGGGAAAATTAGTACAAATGCGCGCCGACTGTTGGGGATGCTAGATCCCCTGGAATCACTTGGTAAACGTCTTATTTTTGTGATTTTATTTTGGAAATTTGAATCTCTCGTTCTCGTGACAAAAGCGCCCGTTTTCACCATTAGATTGTATCGCCCACCTGAAAGGACACTAAATGTCATTGGTTTGTTCCCTATTAATATGCTATTTCGTGATGTTTCCCAAGGACATTTTTATGTTGTATATATACTCTTGAGTTGTGTGCTTGTTATTGTTCGCGATTTTGGGTGCTTGTGGAATATTTCTTTCATCTAAACCGCGTCTTCTTCTAGTTAGCAGGGCTGGGATGCATTGGAAAAGTTTAGCTTTTCTTGTCGTTGTGTCACTGACCCTTCGTTCAGCTCGTCGATTTTAGACGATCTCGTGATTTCTTCAAGCATGGCATGAAGACAGGAAAACTGAAGTAATTTGTTGATAAATAAACTTTATTTTCTCAACCTTCTGTGAATTCTTAATACTTTTGGATTCATAACCACTTACTGATTATTTAGACAGTTACAATATTAACCAATGGGCATACCGAAATAACCTCGAATAATAACCTTATATGGCAGGATCAATCAACGTATGACTAAAAACTGGATTGACAAGAACTTATCCTGCAGCTGAACTGATTGTCTTGTCCAAAACAACATATTCTTTAGCACAATCAAAGTTCGACAGGTATACCTTTCATGTTACCACCAACTGTGCATACATTCACATGTATCTACCAAAGCACTTACACTGGTAGGACAAGAAGAAGAGTGCATATCCGATTAAAAGAACATATCCCAAAACGTTTAAGGTTAAGTGGGTCAAAAGCATTCAGCAGTGCCATCTCCACACATCTCGATACAGGACATCAGGTGGATACATTGAAATCTTTTAAGGTGATTAATAAACAATTGAACTCCAGTCTTCTGAAATTTGCCGATGCTATAGACACCAAACGTCTAAAACCAGATCTATGTGTTCTAAAACAGACAGTAATAAATCTTACTTTGCCCTGGTAACATTACACCCTTTTTCATTGCATCATTATTTCAACTTTCTCAAGTTTCGATTACGTCATTTTCATTTCTCTTTAATTTATAATTGACTGATTTCAACTCATCCTTGTTACTATTAGACTGTTTTTAGTTGCTTCATTACACAATCATTAAATCTTTGTTAACTCTATGGTTTCTAATCACTAGTTCGATGTTCTGGGACTTTTCCTCTCTCACTTTATTTATTAGCCTGAGGAAAATTTTTAAGATCTTATAGGCTATATTGGAATCTTCGCTACATTATGATACACATATTCATCTATAATTACCTTCGTATTTAAGAGTATGTCAATATCCACAGATTTAATTTTAAAATACTTAGGATTTTAAGGAGCTGATGAGAGGCTAACGAAATAAAATGAATTTCTATTATTCTGCTCCATTCTTTGGTTTTGCCCTCTTTAAGATAATAAAGGGAGCTGTGTAAGAATTTACCGGAATCCTTGGATTATTTATAATAATACCCAAGATAAAATGTTGCAAAAATTCAACAACTTGGTGTTGTATAGTTTCATGCATTTTACACAGAATACTAGAAAGGCAACTCACATGTTGCTTTGGAGCGATTGGAGGACATGAACTTCGGATGATTGTCGGACCACATGGATTAACTCCACTAGAATGTTGTGCTACAGTTGCGATAGTTGCCGTCCGTCCTGTAACAGCACTGCCTGGCACAGGTGTGATCTTTAAACCTGTCGGTGTAACTACAGTCGGTCCTCTCTGCCCAGCCATAGTGACGCATGAGTTTGGTATCATTGAACCAACAGCGGCAGTAGTAGTAGGCAATCTGATAGGGGTTGGTATTGGAACCGAATTAGCAGTAGCCGGTGTGGTAATGAGGGCCTATGTAATGAATGAAATCAAAAAACTAGTCAATCAGTAAATTAATCAAACAGCTATTAATTTTGCTTAGGTTGTTGCTAGCAGCAAGTGAATAAATTCGAAACCCTTTCCGATTGCACTAACCTGTGAAATAGCACCAGCTCTTGAGAAGTTCAGAGAACCAGCAGATGCAGTTAATGGAGCTTTAACAATTCCACTTGTATCTACTGGTGAAGATGTCAGGGAATGTGTTGAAGTTGTGGAAGGAGAAACATCATACTTTTGAATCTGCAAAATATAAGCATCTGCAGTAGGCACCGAACCCCAAGTTACTTCGAGGCTTTGAGTGCCAGCACGAACTAATTGAACTCTTGTCGGAGCAGCAGGGCGATCAGTTTCCAAAAACCATAAGTCTTTGAAGCAAACCTAGACGGATAAAAATAAACCAGTTACTACGATATTTTAAAGAACATAATATTACACGGTAGTACAATATTTAACAACTCACCTGATTATTCCATGCTTTTCTATATCCATCACGACCAGACCAAACGTACAAACGACTGTGAACAGCTACAGCACAATGTCCAGCGCGGGCTCGAGGTAGAAGACATTCGTCAGCGACTTCCATTGTCAATGGTTCCCAAGCCATTGTGTCAAGATTGAGACTAGCCAAAGTATTTGTACACTTCCATTCTTTTTCTTGAGCTGTCATTTTAATTTCTTCCATGACCAAAGGAACCCATCCACCGAAGACAAACATTCTAGAAATGATTAAATGTCAAGTATCACGGCAAATTAAAGAAATGAATACACGGAAGTACATAAAAACCGATTGGTCAACATCGATATTTAAAAACCTGGTCAGGTTCTACAGAAATTATTAAGTGCGAAACACCATGACCAAAATTTTGTTAAGGATTAGTAAGTAGCTGAAGGAAATGAGTAACGTCCCTTTCTAGATTACTGCTGAGAAACGCCGAGCACAAAACATTGTAAATGGGCTCCAGTATCCTGAAAGAACACATGGCGTATGAACCAATTTTCGGTCACCGATTACCATAGGACTGCATGTCCTGACGTTGCTCCACTGCCTTGTGGATCAGACCTTTAGATCGAAGGCCTCAGGTGTGGCCCCCTAAGAAAATCACCTGCTTTGGTCTGGGCACCCGGGCAGTATCGCAGCTCACACAAAAACCAAGTGATTGTGTGGAGCATATGTATTCTGTGCCTCTCTGTACCAATATTTATGTGCTTAAATAAACATTTAAAACAAAATATAAATAACTGATGTTGTGCTTAAACATTTAATAGTTTTGGTCAATATGGACAAGTGATTTAGAACTATGAAATGAAACTAAGTAGGTTCAAAATAATAACAAAGAATTTTCCCTTCGGGCTGGGAGTATATTTGATTCACACGAACTAAAAAACCTCATGCCAAATGGATCACTGCCATAAACTATCTGTCAAAAAGTGATAGACACAAATTAATTTTTCAAACTTCACGTGGCAAACTCATTTTGGAGACCGGATACTTGATTGATTCTCCAACAAGCTGTCAAAACCATTTACCTTCATCTGTATCAAGTTAACTACATGATACATGCTGACATGACACAAGTGTGCATCAGTCTAAGTTGCCCACGCCTCACATCAGCAGACTAGGAAATTGAAGACAGGAGTAGAAAGATATCAAATCTTTTTTAAAAGTCTAAAGCCGTTAATCCATTTCATAAAGTTTGATAAAGCAATGAAAAGATAGAGTCAACCTGGAAAATACGTTGCATTCGCATAAGATACATCAGTTTGAAGTGTACTGTGTACATATAACATTCTTGAGGTCAACCGTCTTCTCACTGCACCATTCAAATACCAAATACAAAAGAAAGCCAAACATCAGAAACGTAGTTCAACAGGAAAGAACAAGAATTACGGAACAACACCAAACCCAAAATTTAGAGGAAGACAAAGAATAGACTAAATCACGCCAGTGAACAATAAGGGTCTCGTCAATAAAGGTATCCAACCAAACAACAATAAATACTTAATAGATAATGGTATTGGGACGTAAAAGAAGAATTGGAAGAAGTTATTGCAATTCAGCAATCTTGAGTAAGTATACACGACTTGACTAAAGGCATATTTACGATCCGTCTACTTAGATCACGCTTTAATGGGGCAGCGTTTGAGCATGGCACTTGGAAGGATGAAACCGAGTGACAGACTCCTAAGCCACAGTTATGGGGACATATGTCTATTTTTCGAAGGTAAGGCATATGAGTTATCAAATACATGCAACCTTATGTACTTAACTCTGAGCCGCACCCACATTGAGGTCAGTGATCTATCTGCTTATCCAAACGTCCTGGTAACATGCACCCAGTAGTTCATGTGAACGAGTATTAGATGAGTGCTAATAACATACCACAGCCGCCCAAATCGAAGTACATGAAGAAGGGTTAGAACTCACAACCTTGTGGTTGAAAGTAGAGCGCTCTAACCACTAGGCCTGATAAAGTGAATCAACCAGAAGTGGCCAGATGATAAGGCTATTAGGTGTCAATCAGAAATCGCTTAAAGCACATGTCACTGGCGAAGAAATTGATTCATCATATATATATATATATATATATATATATATATATATATATATATACATATATATATATATATATATATATATATATATATATATATATATATATATAATTTCACTAATAACGTCTCAATACTCGGCCCCCAATGTCTGCCGAACTATTCATTCGAATGTTGACGAATACTCGCATATATTTTGTTTGTTAATAATTAGATAAAAACTCGCAATTTATGAGAAAATTCTGAGTCTTAAACCAAAACTAATTATCACCCTAAAATAATAAGTGCTGATTGCCCTTCCTAACCTGAAGACAATAAACAAACAATAGCAAACTAAAAATTGCCTTACGATAGATAACAGGACGTAAGGTAGAACCTACCGCATTAATAAAAAGAATTTTCCGTAACTTACCGGTTTCCGATTACAGTTGCACTATGAAGACTGCGTGGAGCCGGCAGATCTCCACTAACGATAGGTTTGATCCATGTCATAGTATCAATTTCTAATTGCCAAAGATCCCCAAGTCGATTACCGGACATGCCACCATATACCAAAAGACGCCATTTCTTTACCATTCCATCAAGGACCTGATAAGCTACTGCACTGTGAGATTCTCTAGGTGTAGGCGGCTGACCATATGTGTTTGGGATATCCCAACACATAGTACTTGAATTAGGTTTTAATTCCAGAGTGTACAGATCGTTTAAGTATCTAATTATGAAAATATTTTACAAAGTAAATAGTACGGAGATAAACCAAGAACATACTTTAATAGCTAAAATGAATATAAAGCCGACTGATAGATGAATGGTGAAACAATGAGGTCGGATGACAAATCTCCATGAGAGAACTACTGACGGAATCCGACATGAGGGTCGTCTACAAATCATATTCTCACCGAAAAATGTTTCATGGACCATTATCTATTATTCTGGGAAACTGTTGTAGACTGAATAGTGGATATTTTTTGGCAAGATTCACTATGAGATTTGATAAAATGGAGCGAATTTTTTAACGTGTCAAGATATTAGATTTCTGTTGAGTTCATCGTACCAGTTTAAAACCATCTACAACGCTTTTAATGCTACTTAGGTTAGTAAAGTAATTTTCACACGCATTTTTTGTTGATGTGTATCTGTAATTAATATACGCCGTGTTTTTTTAGCTGGATTTTTTAGCTATCTGAACTTTTCTTGTTTTATCCGCATCGTACCGATCACAATGGTCATTCAAATTTTTCGATGCGGTCAACCACAGTCCCTATTCCTTGTTGAAAGTAGTAATGCAATGTATTTATTTATTTGAACACATAAGCATTGGTACAAGAAGACACCAAATAGATATGAGCCCCATAAACCATTCGATTTGAGTTCGGGTTGTGATGCTGCCCGGTTGCCCAGAATGAAGCAGGTGGTTTCCCTAGGGGGCCACACCCGGAGGTTTAATTAACAAGGCGGTGGAGATACGTCAGATGCAGTCCTATTGTAGCCGGTGACCAAGAACTGGTTCATATGCCATTTGTCCCATCGGGATACTGGAGTCCATGTGCACCATTGGTTTGGAACCAGGATTTCCCGACTCCCCTAGGTGGACTCTCCATGTTCACCAATCTGGTTAAAGCACCGGACATTCGCTTTTCGTCCCCTCAATTTCGTAAACAACACCCCCGCCGCGAGAAGGTATGCAATGTGACGGGTGCAAGAGATGATTTCACCATTTATCACCCGCCGTTTATGAACGTTGCTGTAAACCGACCTTGCTGTGATTATTTACGAAATGTTCCGTTATTAGGGCGACTGTAAGGTAAAGCCTTGGAACTCACTCCGGCAAGTGACGATACCCACTCATTAAGTCTGACATCAAATGAAGAAGAAACAACAAGTGCGGTTGATAGTGTCGTTAACCCAAATACTATTCTTGATCGACAGGGTGACCCCAATTGTTGATACACCCAAAGAAGAGACAACCTTTGTCCGAACCATTGTTACGCGTAACCGGAATAAGTCCCACATTGTCGGGACAAGGAAAATACCGAATACCCTGGTATGACCGAGTGGGAAGATTTTCGAAATGCTCTCACATGGCCACGCGTATACATCTACTGCCAGGGAAGTCCTACTCACTGCCTCGCGGTGGGAGTCTTGTTTACAAAATTCGGAGGGAAATTTGAAAACGACCCTGCTAAGAGGAATGCACACAATCTGAAGTTGTTTAAATCTGCCATCAGCAATGTACCGTCAGAAGGTAGTACATATTACTCAAGACTCAGTAAGTGGGTTAGAAGCGAAACATAACCAAGAAACTAGAAGTTAGAACTCGAAAGTTACGAGGAAAATTTACTTCGCAGAAGTTCGCTTTGTTCTATGCAATGAATGTGAAACATGACCATTAAAAGTAGAGGATATTTGTAGGTTACTAGCATTCGATAATAGATGTCTACGGAGCATTGTCAGTATACTTTGCAACCACGGAGTAAGCGATTTCTGGGTTAGGAAGAGTACCAGGTAAGGATGGAAAATCGATTAGAGGTAGTAAATCTTCACCAACTGAGGTGGTTGGGACGTGTGTAACGTATGCCCAACCACCACATACTTCAACAGGCGATGTTTTCTGGTGCAGCAGCAAGCTACAAGAAAGCTAGGGACGACCAAACCATGACATTAGTACATTAAGTCACTGACAACTGAACTTAGCCTTGTCACTAGGTAAGTATTTCCTGGATGTGGTCCACGTGATTATCGTTACCAATAGTCAGACTTTGAATGACATGGCTCAGAACCGCTTAGAATGGCACAGGTGAATTTGTTTTTTGTCTTCCCCCAAATCCTGAGATTCTAAATTCCTCAAAACCTTTCTCGTTTTATTCACTAATTTATAAATTCTTTCCGAGTCGTGAATTCGATGCCGAATCTTTCTTATTACCACTAACACTACCTCTACCAACGTGAGATTCGATCTAATACTTCATCTCTCTTCGCTAATGGGGCACGGCAACTTGAACTGATGTAAATATGTACAGGTTCCACATTGTGACTGAGGAAACTGTTCCTCAATTTCCTATTAACCCCAGAATTAGCGAGATAGCCGGTCCTGGAAGGTTACATCCACGACTGCTGTCATCTTTCGTGGACATTATTTCACAGTCACTAAAAGTGCTTCTTGCACCCAACTGCCTAAGGATTGGAAGGATGATTTAGTTAGCCCGTTACTAAAATACGGAGAGATGGTGTAAAACCACTAACCTATCAGTTACATAAAAAACAATTCGGGATAGGTTACTAAGTCACAGAACTCCTGACCAACACGAATTTCCAAGCATTTGCGTTTAACTAATTGCTAGAGAATTAGACAGCAGCCTAAGATAACGATTTGTCCATTGGTGTAGTGTTCACAAATCTTACCGAAACATTTGAAAAGACCCCTTACTTAAAGTTTATCCAAAATCTTTAGAGCTTTAGAATAACAGGTACTATACAAGAGTGGGAGAGAAAATTCCTCTGTGGCTGAAGACTGAGGGTGAGGGTAAATGAAAAATTATCTGAATGGAAGCTGGTCAAAAGAGATGTATTCTAGAACACCACCTTCGGTCCTCGATTTCCGTTACCTACTTTAATATATTAGCGAGACTACTTACGTCGTTGACACAGTTGTTATCAGATGTCAATATCCAGAGAGCAGTAAGCAGTGAAGCTGAGAACCTTTGTCTTGAGCAGTTATAAGATACAATGGATATCCCTTAAACTTGAATTTAATTTGGAAATATACCGATGACCTAGTACATAACGAACCAGTAATTCCCCATTAACGCAAGGAGACAAGCCTAAACATGTTACTGAACACGAATTTATACAACTAATAAACGACATATGGCAAACTAAATAGAAAAACCGGAGTGATTACCTTGGTATATTGTTTTTAGGGTCATCACTATCATTTGTTATCCCACCAAATAGAAATGCTCGTTGACCAACAAGAGTAAAACTATGCCCTGCAAAAAAAATTCAGAATAAAAGAGGTCATACCGATCCTTGGGCATGGACAGGGGCCATTTCTAGCAGGCTTAGGCTTTAGACGTTTCCACTCCCAACGAGAGGCTTGTAGTTCGTATAAGTCACCTGAATATTTGCCGTATTCAAGCATGCCACCAAACATGAGAACACGAGTGTTTTCTGCCAGCATCCCGAAGGCTGCACATCCTGGCGGAATATCTCCGTGTACAGCGGGTAGAAACCATTGGCAAGTTGCTAAAAACAAATGGACGGAAAATAACACTTACTCGTATTAAACACGTGAAGTTCGTCTACTATTCCCTCATTCCCACCACCAAAAACCACGATCAAGTCCTTAATAGCCACAGCTTTGTGTCCGTGTCTTGATCGAGGGACATTCCCAGTGGCCGCTGAAACTTTCCTCCACCTAACGATAGGACCTACACCAGCCATCTTGGAAAGCGTACCACCCGCGGGATCATGAGAAAACGTTCCAATAATCATTTGAATGAATAATTTACCATTCAGACTCCATAAATCATGAATAAAATCGCTCTGTTATTCTTTTTCGAATTCATCAGGAGAGAAGAAGAATTTTAGAGCTAATAAAATGACTGTTTAAATGGGACAGTGTTACTGTTTCTCGTTGAGTTAAGTTCGCTGTTTTGAACGTAAATTACGCATTAATACTACTGTTTACACTCTAATTAAATTTATTTCAGTTAAAGTGATACTGCGTTTGTGTGTTTTGATCTTGATTTTGTGTATTTATTGCATCAAAGCATTCTTGGTCGACCTTGATTTATTTGATCTAGGTTTGAGATTTATCCTATACATCCATTTTGTCTACCGTTTTAGCTAATTCTTAAGATGAACAGCTCTGCTCACAATTGTGGACAGCCATATTGCTTGTTCCCTGTAGAAGAAGGAATGCAATGTGATGAGTGTAAAAAGTGGTTCCATAAAATGTGCACCCGCTTAAGTCACACTGCCTATAAAAGGTGCTCAAAGCCTAATTCTCACTTGGCTCTGTGTGCTTTGTTGTTTGAGCAAGACATTACTCATTCAAGAAGTAATTAGCCTTCTGGCATTAGCTAACAGAAAGGTTGGCGAGGGCTGTACCGATAACATGAATACTGTGTCAGTGTCGTTAGTGCTATCACGGCACTTGCCAGACACCCAACTGTGAAACACGAAATAGAGGTTTCTACCCCAAAACAACTAGTGGGTGATACACTATTAGATATTGATGGGCAAAGTGCTGTAGCAGCGACTGGTAATCCGGCTAGAACCATTATCGTCCCGAGTAGTTCTAATGTGGATGCTGAGACTGATGGGAAACAGACGATGCGGAAACGTAGAGGAGAAGGAAAAATAGCCAAAGAGAGCGCCTGTTTAGTTTAAAAGTCCTGGTTGGGCTCACATTCTGCGTGTCCGATTACCCCATTAAAGTCCTAAAGTAGGTCAATATTTATCTTTATCATAAATCGGAAAAGTTTCGCCTCATTAATAATTATCCCTCGACGGTAAGATGCAAACAGTTAACAGACATCACGGTCGAAAGCCATGGATACGACTTTTAAAGGAGATAGACACGTTCCTACTTTAATTATTAGGAATCCAGAAGAGTTGAAAGGCTATGACCCTGCTAAAAGACACGCAGATGATCTGCAGTTAGTGGAATCTGTCATCGGAAATGTACTGGTTGAAGAGGTTTCAGGGGTACATATCATGAACGTAATAGGACCCGGTAAATGGGTTGGAGGTGAGACCCAACAAAGAAGGATTTTGAAGTTAGTACTCGGGAATTTTGAGGAAAGAGATATAATATTGAATAACGCACACAAACCTCGTGATTCAAATATTCGTATTCGACCAGATTGGCCGCTTGAGGATCGGATCAGGTGGAAGAATGCTCTTACAGAGTTAAGAATTCGAAAGCTAAGTGGTGAAACGAACCTTAAGATTAAGGGTTTTCTGGTAGTCAGGTCGTGGAAGCCAACGCTTCCGAGACCTGTATGGGTAGAAAGTAAGATTCCCAAAGCACCTTAAATGTGTGCTGCACAAATGCCCGTAGTCTTTGAAATAAAATGTCCGAGCTAAGTTTGATGGTGGATGAATTCAATCCCGATATAATTTTTATCACAGAAACTTGGCTCACTGTAGACATAGACTGTCTTCCCATCATTTCAGGCTACATCTGCATCAGAAGTGATAGAGTTATAAGTCGCAAGGGATGAGGCATAATGTTATAATTTAGGGACCATTTTCACCTACAACCGATCATATCGGAGGCCCATGTAAGTGGTACGTGTGAGGTAGTATGTTGTACAATTAGGTCTAGAAACGGGTTAGTGACTATAGGAGGAATATATCGTAGTCTGTGTCGTCTTGCTGACGACTTTACCATAAGACACATCTGTTCTTGGAGTAAGGCAGTATGTTGTCTCATCTTTGGAGGTTTCAGAACACCACATATAGTAACTGGGTACAGCTCACAGCTTCAGGTGGGGTTTCGATAGTGACATATTATCAACAATTATCCAGTGTGCACTTGTACAATGTATCGTTACATGTATCGTAAAACATATTAACTTGGAATATGGTCCGTCATTGCTAGACCTTATCCTCACACACCACTGTGAAGACGTCGACAACATTCAGTACCTTCCTCCACTAATGTATAATGATCACGTCGTACTTTCCTTTAAGTTCCGAACACATGGTATAAAAATCTGCACCTCTTTTTATTATTCTGAAAATGATATTTACAGAATTTACACCAGTTCACAAGCATGATCAATTTGATATAAAAAGCAACATTTAATGTAGAGAACAAACACGGAATATAAGATTGTTTTATGTTTGCTGGTTCAGTAATTGATAAGTACTTTACATATGGCATATATCACGGCAAGCCAATGCAACATAAGGGAACTTTTAATTTTTTCTTAAGTGGATAGCCTGACGATTTATGAACGTATTTCTTTAAAGTTATTTCCAGTGCCAGAGCGAGTTACCGATAAATATCTACAACTAGAGAAAATAAGATTAAAGCAAAGAGCATGGAACAACAAAACAATAATTATATGAACGAAGAATATTCTTTTCAATAATTTCTCATCAGGTTCTACAATTATAAATTAATAATCCATAAAAGAAGATTGGCCAAGTTTAAGGCAGAGTATATAGGCAGATGTTCTAGGAATTTGTATACTCGGGCTCGTGAACACCTTCCAGTGTGGTTAAGCAAAGGTGTAGTCAGAACGGTTAACAGCTCTGTTTTAGCCCATTTAGTTCAGACGGGACATAGAGCCGACATTGAGCAATCTTTCACAGTAATATATCGTGTAAATAGCAGTCTACCTAATTCTGTCAGACAGAGAATCCTGCAGACGGCTGAGGCAATTGCTATTCGGATCAAAAAGCCAGAGCTCTGCATCCAAAAGAAATATGTACAGCCACTCCTTTTACCCTGGCCAACTTCAGGGTCAACTTGTTAATAATCAATTTTGTAATAAGGTGACATTAATTTGATTAATGTTCATTTCTATATCTTAGTCTTATCTACACATCTTATCAGTCATTATTCTTATTCTTATTATTATCTTTATTATTATTATCACACCTGCTAACCTTTTATAGAAATTTATTTATCATCCACCCCCTATCTACTATATCTGACCTAATTTATATAATTCTACATATTACGTAATTTCCGATTTGTAATCCCATTGTTCTATCTCTCACCCCCATGTCAACTATATATATTCTGATAATTTATCTTACGATTTTAATTCACCTATAAACTGATTCAAGTTAACACTTCATATTAGTCATCCCAAAAACATTAACGATTCGATCTTATTTTATATGACAAACAATCCTTGATTCACATATTACAGTTTCTTCAATTGATGTACTCTGCCTTAAACTTGGCCAATCTTCTTTTATGGATTATTAATTTATAATTGTAGAACCTGATGAGAAATTATTGAAAAGAATATTCTTCGTTCATATAATTGTTTTAATATGATGGGAATTTTTCAGCGATTAAAACAATAATTGCCAAAATATACCGATCAGGTTACCACTGTTCATGTTAGATATTATTCAAACGTGTTAGAGTTTCTAGTGACAGTGTTAATGTAAAGTGACAGCAAGTAAGTGGTTAAACATTTAAAGTTCCTATAATCTCACCTGTGGAGTAAGATACACTTACAGGCGCTAGAGCATTTAATGCATTTTCAGAGGAGCAAAAGGCATTAATTGAGCGAACAAACAATGGGAGAGAGTTTAACATACGGATAGTTTGAGGTAGATTATTTCAGAGTCTAGAAAACTTACAGGTAAAGTAATTCATATAGAGAGAAGATCTGGAATATGTTTGTTTCGCTAAAGACAAGGAGGCACGAATGTCGTAATGTTAAGCTTCAGCATATTGAATCGCCTGGCTGGATGTGAAGGAGAGTTTGTTAAGTATTTTGAAAAAGAAGATAATGTTAAGTTTGAGTCTCCTCTTCCATAAAGGGTCAAGCCCTAGTTTACTACACCTGGAATTATATGTCAAGGCACAATCAGTTCCAAGAGTACGAAGTGTAATTCGTCTCTGTACTGATTCTGCCCCATCCCGTTCCAATATCTGGAGAGCTAATATCCCAGCAATCAGAGACTGTGCTATCTCGATTTACTGGTCGATCGATGCTGATGGATCGATCGAAGAAGAATAGAATAAGTTTAAGATTACACTAGAGTCCGTAACACAGCTTTTTATACAATGGTTAACACATAAGCTATCACATTGCCCTCCATAGATGAATAAGTAAACCGGAAGTTGTTGAAGCTTAGGAAACACTTATGGGACTTATTCATGTCAACAGGACAGGCATCATTTAAGTGCAAATATTAGAAAAGTCCGGAATATATGTAAAAAGACCATGGCTAAATCCCGTACCGTTTACGAACGACAGTTGGCATATGATAGTCATACTTCTCCGAAGCGATTGTTTTCGTGCGTTATTATTATTAATGACTTCATTCAATATTGTAATCTGGTACAATATAGAATTCTCAGCACGAACGGAGAACAAAACTCAGTGATGGTATTCCCCCATTACTGTTACACGAAAATTCAGATTTACTAGCTGAATCAGATTTAGCAAAAGCTGAGACTTTTTCAAACTATTTGAGTGAAATATATTCTACGTGTGGTGTTACAACTACTTGTCTCAATCACACCGAGATACATTTCTCTGTTATTTCCTTCCTTGTGTAATGTATTTGTTTTGTAATTTGTTCTTTTTCACCTTCTTCCTCTGTCGTTGCCAGGTCTTCCATGTATTTCTGCTTGTTGTCTCGAATGCTCCTCGGAGAGACTATAATTTATGGACGACTTCTGAGCAACACTAAGGTGAATTTAATGATGTTCACTAACATACAAACGCCAAATGAGGGTAATAAACCTGCTGAAAGAA